TCCTGTTGTGAAACTCAGCAGAGTGCCCATCAAAATTAGCTCTTTAGGTGAGAAGACATCCAGAAATTTTCAATATTATCAGTATCTTTGTAGATAGATACCTATGTACCTTTGTAGATACCCATGACATTTTTGTTAAAGTGCTATTGATTTCTTCAAACTAACTGTTCTCTTAATCTGAAAAGTTCCAGCTTCTGTAACTGGAAAAATACTGCAAAGGAAAAAAAGTCCTTAAGTCTGACTTGTAGCCCCTAATAATAAGAAAAAAAAAACCTGTCATCTCATTCAGAAGGAAGAAAAAATGCTATTTTTTTTAAGTGAAATAAATGCTTTCCCTAAACATGATCGCAGTTGACAAAATGCTGGATGTTTAGGTGGCAATTATAGCTCTTTCAGAGACTGTCAAATCTTGTCACAACACATGTTACAAATGAGGACAGATTTAGACATCCTTTATGACAGTTATGTGTAGGATGTGGATGGTTGGCAGTTAAATTTCAAATGCAGGGAAATTTTCCTTCCAATAGATCTTTGCTTGTTTATTAAGAAGGAGTTACCGTGCACTGAATCTTGTATCTACCATGTGCAGCTTTTTTTCCTTGCAGTTTTTGACATTTCACTTTAACTTTCTTTGTGACAGCCATCTGAGCATTGTTTTAGGTAAAAAGTAACCTACAGTGCTCTGGAGATGTATGAAATTTTCAAAGCTCTCAGTGTTTTCATACTGAGATTATAGTTGGAAATGTGTCATATTATATATGGATGGATAGATAGCAAGAAAGCAAATAGCACAGACTGCAACAATGACGGCTGAAGGCAGAAGCTTCACGATGCACACAGAAACTGGGATAATACACTAGCCCACATTCATCATGTAAGACTCACGAATTGTGAAGAAGTATTAATAAAAAATAAAAATAACGTGCACTACAAAGCATAATTCACATGCTGATGAACTACATGGGTGTCATTAAACTTGACATGGATTTTAAACCGTTTCTGATGATAAGAGGTCCAATGGTATGAGGAGAAGAAAGAGAGGAGGAATGATATTGCTGTGGAAAGGAGTCCTGGCAGGGTCAGCTAAAACCTTTATGCAAGCTCCTGGGCAGAGCATGCTGGAATAGCCTAAATGTCACATTTTATGAGTACAGCATCAGCCTTTTTGACTGCACCAGGCTCACCCTACTAATCAGCACAGAAAGAGTGATGAGCTTTGCAGTCACTTTCAGTGAAGCTCAGTAAAGAGGAGGGAGATGCTCTAGGCAGCATCTCCCTGTTAGGTGATATACAACATTCATTACACTATATGCAGCTAGTGAGGACAGGGAAACTATAGCTCCTTTAGCCCCCACACCAAATTCTAATAGTCCCTTCAAGCACCTGGAAGCATCTTCTCCTGAAAGCAACTGGTAAGAGAAAAAATCTATTTACCCATTTATTAATCATTTCACACTCAAATAGGGCAGGTTATAGACTAGCTCTTATGAATGGTGGTATATAAAAACCAATGAGATAAGTTAAGTGCAATTCTACCATTTCAAAGAGATAGTTAAGAAAAGATGTCATGTGTGATATCAGGACCCTGTGACTCTTCTATTTAGCTATAGTAGCAGCTTAACATAACATAGTTATTCACGTGCTTACTGTTAAGCAGATACTTGAGTAGTCTACTGGATTGGGACCAAAGTGCTTATTGCGTTGGAGGACTGAACCCATAAACTGGAACATTGTGGGCAGCTATACTTTTTGCAGAGCTGAAGTTTTTGTACTTTCTATTTTCATAAGAGTGACAGTGTTATGCAACTAGCAGATAGACGAACTTGTGTGCATTCCTAAAGATCATAAAATATTCAGAAATATTTGTGAAATTCTATCTTGAGCAATACAGCTTAAGCCCTTGAATTCTGAATGGGTAGCTCTGCTGTTTTGGGCTGGTTACAGACCATTCACTTAGCCCTAACGACATGCATCCAAATAAATGCTTGCTATTTCGCAAATGTGAAAATAAATGTACTGTTTCTACACTCTAAGACATCAGCATTTATTGCCTCATTTGGGAAAACAATAGACTTAGTTGTTTCATTTATACTCTACTCAAATACTGTTTTGAGACAGGGACCAGCATCCTGCCTGCCTCTTGGAGCTCTCCACAAACAGGGTTTTATGTTCCCAGGCCCCCTCCCTTCCATTCACTTATATGAAAGAAAATTGAAGGGTAAAAGATCACAGGATGTCTCACGTACACATAATTAATTTATTTACCCACCACCTAGTAAAATGTAACACATCTACAATCTTTTCGTTTGATTTGTTCAGTTACTAACTGACCTGAGTTCTTATGTCTTCTTGACTTTAGAGGTTGATTTACTGTGCGTGAATAAATTCTGTCTGACAGTCTCTTTCTTTCTCAATCATTTAATCAATTCTG